CTCCATGCAAAACAACCTACAGACCCACCATACTCTCTCCTGCTTCACAGCCTCCTGCTCTCTGCATCGCTCTGAACCCTTCCCTCCTCCCAGCTATTTCCCACTCATCTGTTAGGTCTAAGCTCAAATATCACCTCCTCGGTGAGGCACTTCTCACCTCCCAGATTAAATGAGTTACACGATACGGACACACTCCCTCACAGTCTGCTCCTCTGTATCCATTTATCACCTTTGAAACCAACTAATAATTGTATGTTTAGGGACTATCTCCCCCAACTACACCAGAAGCTTTGTGAGATCCAAGCTATCTCTGTCTCATCCACTCTCAGCCCCTTAACGCTGAGGCCAGTGCCTCATAAGAGTCTCATGCAATATATATTGCTTGACTGATTCTCTGAACTCATGGCTCTCTTAAATAGTGAGCCAAAAAAGGAGACTAAATAATAAATGCATGACGATTTATGCACTACTTTTGCTCAAATTATGTAGCTGCTGTGATTAATAAAATACAAACTCAAGAAAAGTTTTACTGAGGGGCACCTAGGTGCCTCAGTCGGTTAAGTGGCTACCTTCAGCTCAGATCGTGAGCTCGGGGTCCTGGGATCGAGCCCCGAGTCAGGCTCTGCGCTCAGCAGGGAGTCTGCTTCTCCCTCTCCCTCCGTTCCCACTCTACCCCTCCCCATGCTCATTCCCACATAAGTGCACGCTCTCTCAAATAAACAAAATCTTTTAAAAAGAGAGAGAGAGAAGAAAAGTTTTACTGAATCCATGGTTGCTTTTTGCTATTTCTTTTCTCAACCAATCAACACCAGAAATTCATCTGCTACACCACTATCATGTGCAGGAATCCCACACACACCCAAACTTTGCTAAAAGCAGTACTCAAATTCAAACACTACACAAACACAAAGACGTCCCATAACCATGCCTATTGTAACACAGGAAACTATTTCCCAACATATGTCAACAAAACAAACCCTTTAGTGTCACAGAGTATAAATGAGCCACTTTAGATCAAGTTGAAAATCCTTTCAACCACTAAGACTTGTTTTCGGCCATTCTAAGAATCCTTCAAAGTTTCAAGTTCTAATACACACTGTGAAAAGGAGACTTAATACACAAGTCCCTTCAAAGATATTTTGAATAGAACCTCAGTGATTTGGCTTTGTTCAAAATTTACCTGGATCTTGGGCATCTGGGTGGCTCAGTTGGTTGAGTATTGGACTCTTGATTTCGGCTCAGGTCATGATCTCAGGGTTGTGAGATCCAGCCCTGCATCAGACTCCATGCTGGACATGGGGCCTGCTTGAGAGTCTCTCCCTGTCCCTCTGCCCTGTCCTCCCCATTCTCCCCTTCTCAAAAAACAAAAACAAAAAACCTGGATCCATGAGATATTTTTAAGAGATCTAGAGGTCTGAGCATAACACACGACAAAAACAAATGAATACACAGTCACCCTTCAGTCAAATGCACAACTATTTTCAAAGATGTCATTTTTTTCCTTATTCATTCAACACATATTCGCTGCGTCCCTACTCATGTATTAGAGGTACTGTGCTAGGCATACAGAACAAAATCCCTGTCCTCGAGGAGTTCAGCAAAACAGCAAATAGCACCTGAGTACTTCACTAGTGCTGTCACCAGTTGCTTAGGGAGAGGACAGGGCAAAGTGCCTAAAAGTCTATCTGAGAAATGTGATCATAGGAACAGTCCTCCAATCTAGATCACTGTAGATTGACAGAGCCCACTACCCCTCAAAACCCACAGACTCCAAATGCACATGCTTAAGAAAGCAGCAGAGGGAGTCAGATGCAGTTTATTAAACCAAATGATATGCGCCATCTCTAACTCTCCAGTGTTTCACTTTAAGTACAAAAGAACTACAGTCCGTGCCTTCTTAAACCATCGGTTTTGAGCACCAAAAGCGTAAAGGGCTGATTTAAGTCTATAATCCTTAGTAAGTTCACACACATACTGATAGTAAGATAAAATATCAAATACTCCAAGACACTACTAGATACATTCAAATCAGCTTTAACAAGGTTGCCAAAAAAATTAGCACCGCAATTACACGGTGCTAATTTTTAACAAGTGACGCAGTAAGTTACTGTAAAAAGAAAAAACACACTTTGGAAAGCAAGGACTCTCCCAAGCTAGACATAAAAATTTCAAAATCTAAATGAACCTCTTCCCATTTTATGGGTTGCACTTAAGCCTTTTAATGCTTTATACTCAGGGCCTTGCTGTAGTATAACTAACATTACACTAACTTTGCCCTGCCATAATACAACCTGATACAAATAAAATGTTTCCCAGCTTATGCTAATAAAATGAGAATAACCTGAACAGACACAGCCTCAGGTTCTCTCAAAGTAGCAGGTTATTTATGTATAAATAAAAATAACAAGCCAGCCCAAGTTCATACTTCCATTTTACAAAATTTTCATCACAAATTAACTTGAAAAATTAATATTTACTTAGCACTTAATGTTATATGTTAGATACCGTGCTAGGATTAAATTAAATGGCATGTATAAAATGCCCAACTCTTATCATTATTATTCCCATTTAACGGTGCAAAAACCAGGGCTTACATGAGCTGAATGGTCCACAATCCCACATCTAGCTAATGTGGCAGCGCTGGGACACAAACCCAGGTCTTCGCACTAAACTTAGTGTTTGTAACCTGACTGAACCCTCTGGAACGGTGTTTATAGCTACGTGCATTTTCTCAAGAGCAGGTGGAGAGCTTACATTAGATTCTCAAAGGAGCCCACAATCCCCACAAAAGTTAAAAATATCACTGCACCATATGATCACCTGTGTGGGAAAAAAACAAACAAAACAGAAAAAGCGCACTGGACTTCAAGGCCTTTTACCAAGACTCTTACTTCTGTACCCGCCAAGAGGTAAAAACTCCACAGTTACAGTTGCACTTTAAAATCCTCAGAGCAAGTCAAGATTTCCACTCCTGGATAATTTCCAGTAACCCCTGCCACAGAGTAAGTTACACAATAAATTGCAATACTGTATCAGTTTACATCCAATTCTGAGATTTCACAATACTGACCAATGTTATTTAGTCATTCCACTTTCCAAAATGTGTTTCCATCAACCAGTCCTCACTGCATTGTCTGTGAAATAGGTTATCATTATATGCACTTCCAAGAAAGTCAAACACAGTCACTCTAAGGCCAGGCAAAAAATCAGCTACAGAATCAGGATCCAAAGTGAGAAGTTCCCTACTCCCCTCCCTCCCCAAGATATGCAAGACCATGTCATTTACACCAAAGCACCCTCTCCTAGCTACACAGAAAACAGTGGGCATCTTTTCTACTAATAACAACACTAAATGAGAATCCAGTGGTAAATCACTGAGTTAGGGCATACCCCCAGCTGCCCAATGACAAGTGTGCTCCTCTTGAAAGTTGAGGCAGGCATCACAGGGTAACACCTGGCACATGTCTGGCATCTTCAAAATGAGAGGCAACCATTGAGAGACCCTGACAGCTCTGTGGTAGGTGTGGCACTCAGCTCAACTCCTGGCATCCGGTCCCTAGGATCAATCTGAATGATCCACCCATCCTAAATTCCTGATCAGCCAAAAAAAAAAAAAAAAAGTATTCATGTGGAAATGAACTTGACCTTGAAGTTAACTGGTTCAAACCCCTCATTCTACAGATAAAACTGAACGTCCGAGGAATGCAACAATTCACCCAAGGCCTCACAACTCAGGAGCAGAGACAGTTCTAGAAAGGTCTCCAGACACCTGTCCAGGATCCTTACAATCCTCCTGGGCATTGGGAAATCAGTCGGGGTTACTGTCAGAAGGCTGGCCATTGACCTGACAGCAAGAACTTCACTCCTCCACCTCGTGCCAGATCCACTCTTTGCGTCCAGACTGAGGTCCCTGGGGGCCAACGTCAGGACACCGACCTCAACTTGCTTATTCTGCGAGACAAAGACAATTACTTATTAAAGCTAACCCCATCGGAGAGGAGAAAAATAGGATTCTGACACTGAAGAATTAACTTCACAAGGAGTCTATGTTAGAATGATGTTTTATTTATAACCCTGCCTGACCAAGATGACTTCCGCACAACCACCCTCCAAAGCAAACAATCTTAAAGATAATGAAGAACCCTATGCTTCCTGTGCTCCAAAGGACGGAAAAAAAAAAAAAAAACAAGGAAAGCAGTGGAGAGGACACCGAAGTCATATGCTCAACGTGTCGGGACGCGACCCACAAGTTTTGGAAGAACGTACTTCCAAGAAACTAGGATGGACACAGCCCCCCCTCCCCCGCCCCCGAAGAAAATGAGAGGTTCTCTATCCAGTTTGACGATCAGTGTGCATCTAGACACCCGGGAACAATCCGAATGGGCGCTGCAGGCGGGCATGTCAACGCCGCGGACGGAGAGCTGAGAGTCCCCCTCTCTCAGAAGACCGACGCTGCGCGGAGCAGCCAAAACCTCCCGCAGAGGATCCCGGGGGGGGGGGGGCGCGTCACTGACACGCCTCCGCGCAAGTCCGCGGGTACTGCTCCCACTAGTCCGCCAGGACCCACACACCATCTCTTCCCCTCACACCCATCCCCTCACCACACTCCCCCTCGGCCCGACAGCTTCGGCGGGAAGCAACGCCCACTTCGGAAAACGAGCTCTTAGTTGTGGGGACAAACTAGGCGTCTCGATCACATGCATTCCCAGACCCACCGTAGCAGATACAGACATTAAGGAGTTTGCTGCTTTGACATCTTGAAAAACACACTATCAGCCAGCACCTGAAGACACACACACAACAGAGGTAAGAGCCACGGGAAGTCAATAACCCACCGGGAGGCTCCTAACTGCCATCACCCCGGCCTCGGGGCAAGGCACCTGGGTCCCTCCCACTCCTCATGCCCCGGTGCGCCCTGCCACCAGCCGCGCGCGGGGCGGAGAGCTGAGGTCTCCCGATAGCCGGGACCCGGAGGGGGAGCGGGGGAAGGCGGGGCCCACCTCCTCATCCTGCTCCTCCTGGGACGCGCTGCTGCCCCGGGGCACGAGTGGCGCGGTTCCTCCGGAGAGCTGCGGCGGCGGCGCACAGACTCCAAGCTCAAGCACCACGCGCGCGGGAGCCCAAGCGACGGGCGGCCGGGCGCCTCCGGCGCCGCCCCGCGGCGGCGGCAGCCGCGGCTGCTGCTCGCGGGAGAAGCCGCCGGGCTCCCCTTCCTCCGACAGAGTTTCTGAGCCCGAGGAGGACTCGGCCGAGGAAGCGCCGGGCGAGGACGCGGCGACCACCGCAGGGGCGGGAGTTCCGGGGCCGTGGCCGCTGCAGCCGCGAGGCACCGGCTCCGCCGCCTCCGAAACTTTCTCCCCCATTTCCCTCTCGCGCCCAAAGTGCGGCCCGAGGGGCCGCGGGGACGCGGCGCGCACTCAGCGTCTCCAGAGAAAGCTGCGGGCTGCGCGGCTCCAGGTCGCTCTTGCTGACGCTCCCGGGCTGCGGGGAGCCCCGCCGGCGACTACATGGCCGCAGCACGGCCGCCTGAGACCGCCGCCAAGTTATCAGCCGCCCAGACTCGGCGGCCGACGGGGGCTCCTGCGCGCGGGTACAGGCCAGCTCGAGTCCGCGCTCTACGTTCCACAACCCTTACGCGCTGCGCCCGCGCGGCCGGGACTGCGGCCTCGCCAGCAAAACCTGCCTCCGGGCAGGAGCGGGGCCGGCGGAGGAGACGGGCAGCCCGGGAAGCCAATGGCAGGGCAGGCGCGCCGGTGGGCGGAGGCTGCGGCGCCCCCGGCCGCACGGGCGTCAGGTAGGGAAGGCGGGGCCGAGGCTCGGACTACTGGATCCCGCCCGAGCGCTTGGGGCCGCAGGGACTCGGGGGAGGCGGGGAGGCGGGGGGGGGAACCCTGGAGGGTGGGAGTGGAACCCGGAGTCGGAGCCAAAGGCTGGAATTCCGAATTGGGCGGGGGAGCGGCTGGCGGTCCTTGGAACGCAGTGAAGAGATGGCTGAGGGGGCGGTGAGACCTTGAAGAAGAACTGGACTTTGTTTCAAAAAAGTAAAATCGAGAAAACGGACCAGAAGAAAAGTAGTAGGACTTTAGGAGAAAATACTTTAGGAGGAATACACACACGCTTGCTGGAGGAGAAAGGAGGAAACTTCGTGCTATACTGACTGAGTAGATCTACACGGACCTGATAACCAATCCGGGATTCTTCATTTAAACTCCTTAGGCCTCAGTTTCCCCAACTGGAAATGGAGACAATACCTGTCTTGTCAGGCTATAAGCTGAACATATCTATCAATTGATAGATAGTTATTATGTATGTACACACACACATATATATGTGTGTGCCTCAGCAGCGTGTGTGGCTTGGAAACATGGATAGTTTTCCAAACACTATTTTCTTTATTTCTGTGTATAAACTAAGAGTTTAAGTCAACTACTTGTACCTCTGAAAGGGAAGAAAATAACAATGCCCCTATATTTAATTGGGAACAACAATGTGCCCAGTACTGTGCCCAGCCCTAAACAAAGTTGAATTAGAAAGGGCTCTGTGGCCCTAACAATTGCCTGTCTCTCCACATCAGCTAAGCAGAGCATGAAAAGAGTTGGCATTTCCAGTTTACTTTCTCCTGGCTCCGGATTGTAAACCAGCAGGAAGCAAGACCGGGTGCTTCATTTTCCTAACCCCTAAGAACTAGGAGAAAAAACTTTCACCAAAGGCAAAAGAATCACCTTCCGGCCCTCCCTTGGGCTGAAAATGCATCCTTCAGGGTGATTGGGTGACTTATATTTCTTGGAAGCCAGCACTCAGTTTAGGAGTGGGAAATAAATGATTCCTTACTTGCCTTCACCTCCAGCCCTATTCTGAGATCTGGCACTGTGACCTGAGATATAAATTCAACCTGATTAAATTCCACAGATACTGATTGAGATGTGTGCCAGGTGCTTGCAGGGGATACAAAGATGAATAAGGCAGGTCCCCTGCCCTTGAGGAGCTTATGGTCATACAAGAGATTGATGCTACATAATATAGCTCCACTATTAATTTTTTAAAGCTGTGGTAGTGCTACAAGAACAATGTGTCATGGGAGAAGGGGGGAGAGTTACAGAAAAACAGTTAACAGGTCCTCAAGAATCTTAGATTTCTCTTTATCAGAATAGTTTTGCCAAAGGTCCTTAAGAACTGAAGGACCAAAGTTGAAAGCCCCTTCAGCTAATGAGCCCTTTTATGCTATCATGGTATTTATAAGTGATGCATCACACAAAGTACTTCATTATATTGGACAGCAAGCTTTGTCCTGATCAGTTTCCTCCCCCCGGGATGAAGAGGAAGGAAATATGGCATGAACCTATTGCCATAGGCAGCCATACTGCAAAGCGGGCTCTGGCTGTCAGGCTTGCATTGTGACACTTCAGGATTATCTGCGGGGATGTGAATACCTGCTGAGGCAAAAGGACAATTCTAGTGACTTGGCTAAGTTGTGACAGCAAGGCTGAAGAGAGAGCACAGTGGGGTGGTCAGAATCCAGCCCTGGGCCTCACAATTGCTTTTCTAGGTCAGGAGTACAGGTCTTTATCTGAACCCCTATGTGGTTGATTCGCCAGAGCCAAAGTGAAATCAGGACTTAAGCAAACCATTCACATGAAAGAAAAGGAGAGGTTGCTTTTCAGTGCATGGGGAAAGAAGAGGCAATGACATGATCTGAATTACTAACAGGAGAAACGATGATAGCGATTCTTGCTTGAGCCCTAAGTATTGTCTATAGGTAGTCTCATTTAACTCTGGCAACAATCTTATGAGACAGACTCTATTAGCCCCACTATTATAAAGAAACTGAGGATCTGCAAAGTCAAGTAACTTGCCAAATGTCACACAGCAAGCGAGATATAGAAGTGTGGTTTGAACCCACCGGTCTGCCTCCAAGGCACTGGTAAACATTCCAGTATAATGCTATTCAGAACACACCACTTTTTCAAGCACATATTTACATGCTACATTACAAATATCCACAGAGCAGGAACACTGTTTTCTTGATTCCGCATGTAAAAGAATATGAAAGGATACTTGGAGAACAGATTGTTTTTCTCACAAACATTTATCAGACACTTACAATGTTCTTAAACACTTTACAAATGTTAATTTTGTAATCCTCATGTCAACCCTATGAGGTAGCCACTATTATTACTCTCATATTACATACATGAAGTGTGTGAAAACTGTGGCACAGAAAAGTTGCATAATTTGCCCAAAGTCACAAAGCTATCAAGTGATGGAGTCAGGATGCAAACTTGAACAGTTTAGCCTCAGTGTTCATGCTCTTAGCCTCTACTGATCAAAATCAAGTACTAGATCAATACTTAACTTTTTAAACCTTAACCCTGCACAAGAAATATATTTTACAACTCATGACATATATAAATACAACTACAAATAAAATTCCATGAAATAATACCTATCCTAAGTTCTATAAGCAATGCAGTCTGATATTTTATTGTATTTTATTGAAAATAAAAATGCTAGTTTGTGATCAGCTACATATATTTCACACTCCACTCTGACACATGCAGTCGAAAGCAGTGTACCTAATCATCCCCAGAGCTGACCCATGAGGGAACTATGACTATGGTTCAGGCTGAGAGTTCCCAGACCAGAACTAGGCAAACTCAAAGGATGACTCTATAAATAGAAGGTGATCAGAAGGTCAGGCTACTTCCCCAAAAATATCACAGTTAGACCTATGGACAAATGCTGAGGTATGGCCAAACCACTGGAACAAAATCAGTTTTGATTTATGAAAACGCTGTGGTTCACCTTTCTTATCTGATAAATTATAATCATCTTCCTCAGTGTCAAGGAAAGTACCCCACCAAAAGGACTTCTCATAAATGTCCCTAATGTTAGGTATAAAAGTATGGCTTTTTTCCTGTATTGTCACTGTAGGCAAGAGCTAGAAAAATAAAAATGACTTAGAGCTCTTAGGAAGCCACTGGTGTAGCTTCGTATGACAGAACCAGACCAGCCTACAGACAAGGAAGGACAAGGTTAAGAGGTGTCCATACATTGTACGAGACATGCTCCCAAGGGCTTGGTTCAAAGACAAGAACCCCTGGGCACTTGAGTAAGTGTTTATTGTGTTCAGTGATTAAACACTTGCCTTAGTTTTCTATGTTGTTCTCCTAAGTAACTGGAGATATTGCCTCTGGGAGTCTCTGTTGTCTCTGCCACTCTCTGTTCTGTGGGTGAGGCCAAGTGTGAATGTTAAGCTCTTGTCTCTCCAAGATGGAGGATGCTGGAGGAAAAGTCATCACATCCTTAGTCCATTCCCATGGTTTTGACCTTCCTCTTAAAGATTAGCTTTATGATTTAATAAAATTGAAATCAATTGTCCTTCCATCTTACCTACATGAAATTAGGGCATCATCAACTCCAAACACACATTTTATGCAAAATTACAAGTAAATATGTTCCTATTTAATACACTGTCATATTATCTTTAGAATATGAAGATAATGATATTATACTTATGGCAGGTTTTTTTATTATCATTATTAATGATAGATTTGCCTGCTCCCCCTTGACCAATGAAATGCAATTTCAGGACAAAGTAAACGTCAATGAAGAGGTGGTCATTGAAGTGGCCTAGACTGCAGTTTCTGATTTAAACCAGAAGGTGTAGCATAAAACAGCCCATGGCTGTTTCTGACCACCCAGCTGGGAGGAAAAGCTCCCACGGTTTCTCAGGCTTTTGTGTGTATCTAAGGCTCTAGGAAAGAAAGGGTTACAGGACAAGGTTCCAGAAGATAAGTAGAAGAATTTTTAAATGATGGTTGAAAAGAACAAGGGAGGAAGGGTAGTCACATGACTTGCAGCTGTTGGAGTCTCTGACCTAGAGGTTGAGAAGAATGGGAAACTAAGCTATGTTAGCAAATTAAAATAAGCCTACAACAGACCAAAGGGGAGGATGCTGCTGATCTGATCTCTCAGATCAAGGTTCCTCAGTGATTTTTCCGTGGAACACTCCCATCAGATCAGGACGCAAACACAAGAACAAATGAGGCCGATTCCCTGGCCCCACCGAAGGTCTGGGAATCAGCATTTTTAAGCACCATTCCAAGGGAGTGTCAAGTATACTAAAGCTTAAGGATTACTGAAAGTGTTCCTAATTTGGAAATCAAAGAGCCATTTTATGGGGCAAGTGTACATGGCTCTGTAGAAGGTGACTAGAATGAGCCTGACTGACCGCAAGGATGCTCTTTGGATCACTTTGCTCCTATTCTCTTGGAGTACATCTACCTTTGAGAGACCAAGACAGCTTAGCAGCTGGGCAGGAATATGCATGTGCTGAAAACAGGTGGAAAAACTGAGCTAATAC